GAGGAATCCCGGAAAAGCTCTGCTGCGTCTAAAGAACGCGTCTGCTTTTCGGAAAAGTAGATGTGTTTTATCATTCTACAAGGAAGAAAGGATGTTCCAAAAGTGGCTTTTTTTCCTGACATTTGGACCAGTGTACATGGGCCGATTGTTGGAAAAGCCTCTTTCAGGAGAAAAGCGGAAATAGATATGCAAATTGTGGTTTGCAATTTGCATATATTTTTCCGATAGAACTTAGTACTCTAGACACAGCCTGAGAGTGGTCATGGTAACAGCTTTCAAGTACCTGAAAGATTGTTACAATGAGGAGGAAGAAAAATTGTTCTTTTTAACCTTTGAGGATGGGAAAAGAAGCAATGGGTTTAAATTGCAGAAATGAAAGTTTAGGTTGGACATTACAAAAAACATTCTGTCACAGTGGTTAAGCCCTGGAATAAATTGCCTAAGGAGGTTGTGGAATTTCCCTCATTAGAGATTTTTTAGAACAGGTTAGACAAACACCTGTCGAAGATGGTCTAGATTATACTTCCTCCTGCTGTAAGTGCAGGGGACTTGACTAGATGACCTCTCAAGGTCCTTTCCAATCCTATGATTCTTTGGTTTCAGAGTTAAGTTTTGGTGTCAATAGAATTTTTATTTTCATTTGGCTTCAGTACAGATTTTCATATGCACATTGTCCTGTCTCACCAGATTTCTTGTTGTTTCACCCTGGAAATACTGTGCACAATAGCTCTTTCTTGTGATTTGGCCATCTTACAGAAGATCTAGAGAAATATTGCAATAGCCCTCAGTAAAAACTTGACTTTAACTGGGTACATGGAAGTCTGCCCTCGAGGGACTTTTCCAGCATTTACTTACCTGGTCAATTTCTTCCATACAGCACACTCCTCATAAAATTATTCTCATTTTCTAAGAGGCTACAGAAAATCCAGCAGCCATAAGGAGGACAACATCTTTTACATATGTTCTATGGGGCTATGGCTACACTGCAGAGCTATTTCGGGATACTGGAAGTATCCCGAAATAGCTATTCTGCATCTTTTCAGCAAACCCATTATGTGTAGACAGCACCAAATTTCGAAATATTAACACAAATTATTTAGAAATTAACACAAAATGTTAATGCTGCTATTTAGAAATTAACACAAAATAAGCTACGCAATTTGCATAGCAGAATAAGCTGTGCAATTTGCATAGAAACTAATTTGCATATGCAGTGGGGAAAAAAACTGATTATGAAACACTTCAGGTTATTGTGACCCTTCAGTTAAAAACATATATATGTGAAAACGCATTCAGTTTTGGTTTGGAATCTGTTTTGGTTTCATACAGAGTATTCGATGATGGGAAAGTCCAACTTCAAAAACTGCACTTGAGATACCATTCATATTACAGATTTCATCACTGTTAACTAGATAACAGTGTTGTTTCAGTCTTTGTTGAACCCCAGTCATTACCTGAATGAGGAATGTACTTCATTATTTTCTTGTTTCATGATAGATGAGCTCAATAGAATATAAGATGGGTTTTGAAAATGCATTTCCCTAAAAGTGCTGCATTCTTCATCCCTTCACTGAATTAGAACAGAGAATTAGTATGGGGGAAAGGGCAATTTTTATAGTGTATCTTAAAATACAAAGATGGACTGGAATTCTGGAATTGTGTTCCTTTGTCCTCCTATTGCCCTTCCTTCCTTCTTTATAGGAAGTGTGAGGCTCCAGTGCACCACTACATGAGAGGTGCATGGGGAGGGGGCCAGAGAGGGGATGAACAGGCTGCAAGTTGCCAACCACTGCTGATGCTGCCCACTAGATGAAGGGGGGCCACTCATGAGGCCCACTCACTATTCTTGGTTACCCATCACTGCACTGTGGCGATCCAAGAATGAAGTCATTTTTTAAGCTCACACTTAACCACCTCAGACCTAGGGTTACCAGGTAAACCCTCCCAAAATACCGGACACACTTGATCATGGGAGGGTAGAGGGAGGGACTGGCTGGGAGGAAGGGGGGTTGAAGGCGGGGCTGGTGGGAGGCGTCGGGGGCCGTGGGGCTGGACGGGAGGAAGAGGGGCAGGAGGCAGGGGGTGGGGGGCC